GTAAAATAAAGCTCTAAATTTGAATTTTTCAGTTCTCCAAAGGCCCATCAACGATCTCCGCCTATCAGGCCTACTGTATCAACTACAAAGCAACCATGGAATATTTGGGATCCATCCGTCAGAAGGAAGAGCGATTCACAGAATTTGAGNGAATCTCTTCAAAATAACCTAGAAAACGCACCAGGGACATGTAAGTCTATTTCTAGGTCATTCACTATGGTGGCCTAGAAGGCTCAACTTGCAAAAACTAGGCCACCATGTTAAGATAACCCACAAAACCTACCAGATGCATACCAGACCATTCCTAGGTCATTCTCAACTTAAAAAAGTTAGGCCACCACTTAAAATGGCCTAAAACACGAGAAATAATGTCAGCAACGACCATTCAAAATTCCGGCCGATTTTTCCGACCGCGCAGCTATGCGGCGCCAATATTTTCGAGCTCACAAGTTCAAAATCCCAAAATAACTTTTTGGTTTGATGTCCCGCTATGTTTGGATCCTACGATTCCAAAATTCCCAAAATATCCGCTTACCAACAACTTTTCCAACTCGTCATCTTCGATTTCATGATCCTTGGAAGTCTCCAACGCCGCCTGTACATGTTTTATGATCTCTCGACGTTTTGCTCGTCCCGACCACTCGTAAAGCCGCTTCAGAATCCACGGCGATCGATTTTTCTGTGGTTCGGAGGCTTCGGCGTAGAACGCCTGTGATGCGATGGTGGCTCTTTGGAGATCTGGAATTTTGTGGGGATTAGACAAAATTAATATTTATATGATTGTCTAGTGGGAGGTTCTAATGATACATAGAAGTGGGTAATATAGTAATATCTACAGTAATCCAGAAGCTACACGGTATTATGAATACGCCATGAAACACCACCCACCAATAGATGTGATTTTTCGGGAATCTGAAAATAGCCTATTTTGAACGCGACGCGTGTTGGCGTAGCGGTCGCCAGCTGAGTAGAGAGAAAGCGCTACAATGCGCACCTTCTTCAGGTTTACTATGTCATGTGAGATATGCAAATTCTACAGTAACCCCTACCTGCCAACAATCCACCGCCTGAGCTAATGGCTCGATTGAACAAATGACTCTCATTTGGAGAGATTTGGACATGTGGAACTATGATGACGTTGTCCGATGAGCAACATCCTTGAGAGGACGTCTCCTGATTTTCAGATGGCTGATCTGGAATGATGGCATGGCGACGGGAGAGCTGCTCCTTGTTCGGATGGATTGTTTGAGGCTCGCCTTCTTCTGGCTGGAAAAATTTGGAAAATTAGGAATTTGAATTTTTTCTTGTATTTTTTCCCTCTCGAATTTTCGAATTTCAGAATTCTTGAATTACGAAATTTCTGAATTTCAGACTTCCTAAATTTTCAGAGATTTTTAAAAAATTCTCAGAACTTTCAGAATTTTGGAAGTTCGGAATTTTTGATATTCTAAACTTCTGCGTATTCATAAATCTGGAAAATCTGAAAATTTCAGATTTTTGATAATTTTTTAAGGATTTTCAAATTGTATATTTCCAACGAGATTCAGATTTTAATTTTTACATTTCTTTTTAAGCCCCATATGTACCTCCGAGTATCTAATGAGCGGTGTGAACAACTGCAAATCGACCATCACAGAATTTCTAGAAATTTTAATTTTTTCGAAATATCAGAGAAACAAAAAAAAACGCCTAAAAGTGGAAATGTGTAGAAGATAGACAGAGGAAATGAGGAGAAAGATTAGTGGAAAGTCTTCTGGAATTTTCTGGAGTTTCTTAGAAATTTCGATGTCCAATTATCCAGAATTGAGCAGATGAGAGAGCGAGAGAATTAGAGAACAACAATTTTGTGCACTTCACGGTCTCCCCAGCTCTCAAAATGAACTGCAAGCCTTTTTCTCAGCGGAGCGCGGTTGCGCGCGCC